TTTAAGGTCATTTTTACCAGTAGAATTATTTCAAAAGTTTACATCAAAGGTTTAAATTAAAAAAAATTTAAGCATAAATCTAACAAGAATTAGTAAGGTTCATGGTTAAAACAAGAAAAATAAAGCTAAGAAACATACTTTTTAATTCCAGATATAATATCAGAAAATGCATTATCAGGGTAATTTTACTTCTTAAGCAGGCTACATTTATCTTTTAAAAAGTAAATTTAACTAAAAAACACTGATTAATTTTTTTTTTTTTTGCAGTGTTGATATAAATTAATCTCCCTTTACAGGGTTTGATAAACAAAGCAGAATGATTTTGAAAAATGGTTTTCAACGTGTTATGTGTTCAAACACTCCTAGCGCTTTTGAAGAAAGGCGTCTCTAACTGCACAATATAAATGACAATAGGGTTTTTGCCATGCGTTCTCTCTCTTCCGAGACTGGGGTTGATAGTTTACTGTGGGCTGTCAAACCCACTGTCAGCACACATGCTCTTCTATAGAGGGGGAGTGATTTGCGGGTTGCCTGGTGGGACTGTGTATTGATTACCTTGAAATTACAGGATTTAAAAGGTTGGCGAAAAAGAGAAGATGTAAGCTGCCCTCTCGCAGCAGTGTCTGCATGCTCACCGGCAGCAATCAGCATCTTCAGCATATTGTGCTAACACTGCACAGGAAAATGTGAATTTCACTGAGAGACAGCTGAGTGCTGGGTAATTTAATTCAGGACTCTCTCTCTCTCAGCCAGAAGTGTAAAACGAGCCGTATAACCTTCAAAACCACACAACCTTTCATCGGATCATAAAGGATGACTGACAAATAAGAGCAGTTAGCATTTAAGGAAATTACATACGTCAAATGATGAAACTGTTCCTGAAATATGCACACTACTAAAGCCTTGCGGAAATCTGATCAGCAAAGGACTGCGTATAAAAACCGAGAGCAACAAAATCAGGTTCAAATGTTTCCAAAAGTGATTTCAAATCTAATTCAAACTTGGAAATGAACATAAAGATTTATTATTTCGAACAATTTAAAACAAAGAAATGTTACGACATAAAATAAAAAAGAAATATTTACCATTGTGCCCTATATACTAATAAGCAAATTCAAAACAAGAGGTTATTTCCATTAAAGCACAAGATGTGTTTTGGATCACCACACAAATATATACTAAAACATTCATGTACATATTTTTTTTCAAATGTTATTCTGATAATATTATTTATGTTAAAATTATTTAAAGAAATGTTTTTTCTATAAGAATGAAAATATATATATATATTTTATAAATGATTTGTTAAACGAAAATGATATTAACTATTACTATAATTCAATTATTAAATGAAAATAAAATTATGTAATCAAATCTTTTCATGTTATATGAATTTTAGCATGACAAATCTTTTACCTAAAAGCACATTTATTCTCTGCGCTTTAGGTTTGTCCTTCATATTTTTTCAGGTTTCCTGCAGTTGTGCCATACAAATCTAAACACTAGATGGCAGGACAGGGCTGCCTTTCTATCTTAAGCCATCACAGTTCATTATTGTTCTGTAGCTCAATGATTTTGACTAATCCCAACAAAATGAAATATAACAACTTTTCTTTTTTTTCCACATCACCTCCCAATACCTTCTAAAGCTGCTGTCAATGTCAAAACCTCTTGTAGTAACATTAAGCAAATAATCAGCCTGGACAAAATGAGGCCTAGACTCCACTAGCTTATCAAGAGGATAAAAGGGAAACAATGAAGTCCACATATTTCACCTAAATGCAAAAACGTGCATATGTTGACTGACAATTTTCAGTTTAAGCAAAGCTATCTTAAAAACATTCTTAAAGATAATAAATGCCAACATTATGCAATAATGAGAACAAAGATTTAAAACAACTGTCCAAACAAGAAAACCCTCTCGAGTCTGAGAATAAAAAAGCAGCCACTGAAAACGTCCTGTTTTATAGTATATTTCTGCTGTGCCAACAAAACAAAAATATCCGTTCAACAGTATGCCAGTCCTTCATTTCACAGCATGGCCTCACTTATGGCTATATGAAATAAACAGCATCTGTGCTGGTGAATGTGTCAGAGTGTTGTGTGATGGTTGGATTAGCTCACAGTAAATTTCCTTTTCCCTATGACACGCTACTCATGCTCACATTCCTGCAGCTCAATTCCAGTTCCTGAAAAGAATGAGGTGCTTGTGCAGAGATGTTTGGAGCTCTGCTGAGGAAACATAGCAGGTGAGTCACTCAGAATCAAGCATTTGTTTGTTGCGTGCTGGTGGAAAAGGGAACCAGACCACAATGGTACAAATACTATACAGCTGGTGTTAAAACTCGTCTAAAAGCCACAATCTCCTAAACATTTGAAAGGAAACGGTAAATTCCCTTTAGTCAGTCCGAGTCTGAGCGGGAGGGAAAGAGCTAAGATGAATGTGTTTTCTTTTTCTCATGTGAAAGGTAGCAGTGGCTCTAAGTGGTTGTCTGGCTAAATAAAAGTTGTATGCTTGCCATTTTTCAGCCTTATTGAAACACACTTAGTTTGGCATAAAGGACTGAGGCTAAACATGGAAATGTTAAACGACTACAAGCTGTCCTTCAGGGGTCCCTGAATGTACTATACAGAGTCCGTTTAAAGAAGATATATAAAATAAAAACACTTTAGACATACTGTATCTAACCCCTGGACTAAATATATATGTTTGAGCTGGTTTAACTGAAAGCTACTTGCACTGACATATATAAAAATTGTTTTGTCTCAAGATGGACATCAGTAATGTTTTTTTCTAGACCAAGTTTAATGCCCTAATAGAACTAAGGCCTAATCCTGGCTTAATCTAAATCATGTCAATGAAACCAGCCCTATTTCTATTATCTAATGTACTAGAGTGGAGCACGGATGACGTCTTTTTGCAGGCCAAACCGGAAGTTAGCATCACCCTGGTTCCCTTGACAAAAACACATTAGGATTTTTTCTATTGTTTTTTGGATTACTGCAGTCTTCGACTAACGAATGCTTATGATTCTTACACGTTTTGTTCATTGGGATAATCTCCACAAATGAACACGACTTTTATGAATTATGAAGCGTAAATACAAATTCAAAAGAAGTCAAAAGCTAAAGGTAGGCTACTACACCATGTTCGTATGTCCTCAACGTCAGTACGTCACCATCACTAAGCTTCCAACAACTCTTTCAGTCATTGTTTAAAAATATTTTCCCTGGAAGTTCGAGTTATAAAAGTTTGCAAGAGCGCGAGGCTGAAAGTGAACTAGCGTGTAGATGAGTTAAGATGACGTTTAATGTCCCCGGCAGCCTCTGTAATCCCATTTAGCCACTTATTAGCAACCGCCTTTTACAAGAAAAGTAAGAGACCCTGGTACTGAAAAGGTTGAAAACCTTTCATGTAACTATTGAGAAAAAACCCCAACGTAAACCAGTCCCAGAATGGCCAATCAAACTATTAGGAAACAAAAGGCTTTGTAAAATCTGGGATCTGCCTTTGTGTTGTACGATTATTCTTGGCATATCAAATAAGCTTTGGAGTTGTGAGTAACCAGAGTGAACACAAGGGGACAGTAAAAGACTTTAACATTTCACATGTCTCTTAATGGTAATACTATGTATGGTTAAGCGAGAATGTGATTCTTAGCGGGATGCTAGATCAATCTAACTTTCTGCTTGTTTCTACCATCACTGCTCACCTCTTCACTGCGGTCTACATCAGAGGGAAAACATCCACTCCACCCCAAAACAGAACAGTTTTAGAGACACTAGCAACCACAGAGATGGGCTCAGGAGGAGTGATCCATTGTGTAAGGTCTAGAGGAGTTATTACTCTGTCTCCAGACAGTTTGGGTTGCCAAGATGCCTCGTTGTCTGTTGAGTCATATAGAGAGGAGCCACATGAATCAGTGTCTTCAAGCATGGAAATGCAGTCGTCACACAAAAGGGTGCAACAATGGCCGGAGTTCAGTCAGTCTGAAAGTGAATATGAAAGTGCAAATATTACTGTGATGGAAAACTAGTCTGTAACCAACCATTCAAGATTGGAAATAGAAAACCAAAATAAATGGATCACTATCACAGTATATGAATAAATAAATGTCAGAAATATAAACAGAAATTAATTAAATAAACTCTCAGAAAATAACTATTTATTAAAAGGCAATATTTACCCATGGAAAAACAAAACAAAACTTTTTTTTTAACCTTCATAAAACACATTTTCTGTAACTACATAAAGCAAACAGTATATAAATGGTGTTGTAATGATTCAGTTTAATTCATTTAAATAATTTTCAAATAAATTGAACATGAAATTAAAAATATCTATGCACAAGATTTATATTACTTATATTAATAAAATAACTAAATATAAATCCCTAAAAAAGAATATTATGAATTATATAAAATTTGAGATGACAAATAAACAAAACAGAGAATATTTTCTCTTAACTATATAGAGCAACCAGAGTAGCATCCATTTTTCAAATTGTTAAATTTAATTAATTTACAGATATTCTCCATGTTTTATATAGCCTGCAGCATGATAAGGCTCAGGTGATACTGGATCTTTATATCAGAAAATAAAATTAAGAAAAAACTTAGGCTACTAATAAAACCCTTAATTAAGAACATTACGAAATATATTAAATGTGAGAAAATAAACAAAACAGAGGAAGTTGCTACAATGCATCAACATTTATATATGGGCATTTTTATAACTTTTAGTGGAATTTTTTTGTAATTTTCCCTCAAATAAAGCTATTTGGTTTGCTTTGCTAACTTGGGACTACAAAGTGTGTAAAAAAGAAAGAGTACTAGAGCATAAATGTATATCTGGCATGCACACACAGAGTGATTATGCCATTATTATGTAGTCCACAATTAGCAGGGTTTATCAGGGGAAATGAGCGAAACAACAACAGCTCAGCTCAATTGGGAGGGTTCAGCAGCAGCAGCTGAGAGCTATTTGACCACGTGACTGGAGAGATGTTTCTGTCGCTGTAGCAGCCATCATTTCACTCAATACAAGCCTATGCTAAAAAGACAGAGAGGAGGTATAGTCATGGATTTGCACGGGAATACCGACTGAAAGGAACATACTCGCTCCACTCCTTCGCCTATGGTTTATTTGCCGGCGTGTATCCGTTGCAGGTAGGGTCTGAAATTGTTAAGATTTAACACATTTGCTTGTCTTTGCTGTGTGTTCACATGCAAACACTCGCGTTTTTCCAAGCTTTTCGAAAGCAAACACCAGTCGATGTGCTCATTCAACAAGCCGAAGATAGCCTAAAACGTGAAATGCGATATTAACGTGCTAGCTTTTGGAACCTTTCCTAATGCGTCTGTGTAAATAATAAATGAGTAACGTTAACGTTAGCTGTGCACTAAACAACTGCCTCCTGCGTTTGTAATGGGTATTATAAAATTAATTTTTAAACCAACAAAGATGCCTCGTGGACCTACGCTTAATAGTTTCCTACCCAAGATAAGTTTGGCAGCATTAAGAGATTTGTGTCTCTGATTATTTTGTTCATTGCTTACACTTAACCTTTCTACGAAAGGCCAGGTAACGTTAGTCGCATTATATGACTAGTGTGAAGCTCAATTCATTAATTAGTTTGTATTTACATGAAAATTGTGCTTAAACTGCAGCCCTTTATAGTTTTACTCCATGACTTTAAAGATGTTTGGCCTAGAGTCCTAGACAATGCTGGATAGGCTTCACTTTCGGTTTAAGATCGTAAAGACCTAACACTGGAGCATTGGTGTGGAGTCATTTGTGTTAAGCTATCTGTACGTTACTTATTTAACGTTACTACTAAATGAAGAACTACTAAATGAAGAACAACGCTATCTTCTAGTTATTCTTATACTAACTATATTAACAATCAAGGCCGTTTTTCTAATTATTTGTTTGGTGTTCCAAGAGTGCTAATATTTGGTAATACTAATAGTAGCCAGCACGGGAGTTTGTGTAATATTCTATCGACTTGTTTCCTGCCTGGGGGAAAGAGCGTTTTGAAGTCATGGTGTTTTTTTTTTTTAAAAGTCGGTGTTCTTTCGTGAATAGACGCGGAATCGCGTGTATTTACCTGCAGCAGGGAGTGGGCCTTTGAAAGTGAGCCTTGTTTTCACTCGCGCCAAGATCTCGCCAAGGAGCGGGAAACTTAAAAACCCGGAGTGGAGCTAGGGTGATTAGAGAGCGCTTTGAGCGGATGTGAAATCTCTTGCGCTCCGCTCCAGTCATATTTTATTCCAAACCGGCCTTTGATCTGTTTTGCTTGGTGAGAAGCAAAGCTTAGGGGTGCTTTAAGTTTTTGACTGTACAAAAGCATGAAAATGCCATATGTTTGCAGATATTTAAGAAACATGCTGAGTTCACATACTCTTTTCTTTGAGAAACTTTGCTACAGCCAGTTATTTTACTTTGAAATGTGCATTACGTGTCGGAATGTCTGTTTTTGCACGTTGCCAATTTAACTTTACCCAATTATTTCAACACCCCGGGTTGCCGCCAGTCAGCGAAAAAACTTGGTCCGAGATTAACAGCTTCACAACCTAAAAATCCTCTGTATCCACCTAAAAATCTGTTTGAACGGTAGCATATTAAAACACGATATCAACTCCTAAATCAACTTACGTAAGTATCCATTCCTCACTGTCAAGTCTGAGGAGAAGGGAGCGGGGAAACAACTCTCCAATATTTTGAATTTGGACTGCAGTACCCATTTCAACCGCTAGCTGTCAATATTATGTACTGCACCTGTGCTTTGGCTTCTTTTGAAACTATTTTCATTGACAGAAGAAATTAACTATATATATATATATATATATAATCTAAATGTAAACTGCTAAATTTAACTTTCTGCTTTTATACAGCATTACAGCAATAAACAATCTCACTCATGTTGTATATTTAAAGATATAGCAGAACTAACAACGATGTACTAAAAACAGAAACGTTTATCCTTTCGAGTTTTTCGCATACAGATGACAAACGTTGTCAAAACAATCCCGTTCATGCGGATCAGTGAAAATGTTTAAAAATGCTGGATTATGCATGCCAGGCCAGTAGTTGGCGATGCCATTTTGTAAAGAAACACTACCTATAATACGCATGTCACTGTTTTCACAAATTCATGTTTTGTGGGGTGTTTACATGACAATGTACTAAAAACAGAAATGTTTATCCTTTTGAGTTTTTCCACATACAGACAAAAATGTTGTCAAAACGAACCCCATTCACATAGATATGCGAAAACTATCAATAACGCTGTATTATGCATGCCAGGCCAGTAGTTGGCGATGACACTTTGTAAAGAGAAACTACGCGCCTATCCATCTTATTTTTCAACGCGTAAGTAAGGGGTTTTCTGTGAATGTGTGAGACTTTCGATTTATTAGCCGCTGTAGGGAAATGCAAGAAGAATATATCAAAGTACATTAAACTAAAACTTTTTGCGCTACAAATCTTGTTTATAATTAAGACAATACATTAAAATAATATGGAAAGAAATACCAGTTTGCAATATCAAGGCGCACAATGAGATGTTTTGTAGCTAAAAATAACTGGAAGCAAATGACACCGGAAGCCAGACACATTAAAATTACAAATGGCCATGCCTGCTCTTACCCGAAAAATAAGGTGGATACTGAACGCATGACATCACCGTTTTCACAAATTCATGTTTTTTGTAGTTTACACAGACGTTAATGGTATAATATTTGGTATCAAAACTTGCACTTTGAACCCATTTTCAAAAGTTTGTTTTCAGGCACCCAAAATGGCATGGTCGTGTAAATGAACGGCCAAAATGCATACATTTCTTTCAGTTTTTAGTTGAAAGTGGTATCATGTAAACTGCCCCTAAATCTTATTTTCAGCCAGTGTCTTTGTCGCTTTATATTTGACATCACTGTTTTTAGAAATATGAAGTAACCACAGTTTTATTGTTGTAACTTTAGTTTAGTAACTATTTAGTCGGAAACTGTGGTTCAAGGGGTTTCTAATCAATGAGTTCTGAGATGACCCGCAGAGACATCAGCTCAGTGTTTGATGTCCTATTTAATGTCAGATTACTGTGTGGTTGATGTATTCAAGGCAGATTAATCCTTCCTTTGTGTTTGCAAGAACAGTACGTGGTTTACTGTCTTTACTAAATGCACCTGACTGAACACAATGTTATGGGCCTGTGTAACAGGTAACTCCTCTGATTCTCTGCTGTAGAGGACAGCCTACTGAACTGACCTGGATTACAGCAATGTGAATTTCGTAATGTTAAACTGTGATTTGCTCATGTTCACCTTCCCCTTCACTAATGGTGCTTGTCTGGTTTGGGCTAACATTAACATGGAATGGCCTAGCCCTAGATTTTTTTATTTGTTAAAAGAAAGTTATTCTGTGGTTCTCAGGCACTTATGAACCATTTTTGTGTGCGTGTATAGTGTGTTATGTTTCTTTTTGAAAATTAAAAAGTCCTTGATCACATTTTATAGGTTGAAGATGAAGAACTTTTCTAACTTAAGTTAGTTACTATTACCTTAACTTCTGTTTACAGTTCAAAAACTTTTCTTATTTTAATATATTTTAAAATGTAGTTAATTTCAGCATCATTACTCCAGTCTTCAGTGTCACATGATCCTTCAGAAATCATTCTGATGTGCCGATTTGAAGGAACAAGAAACATTTTCTACCAAAGTTGAAACAGTTTTTTCCCCCTTTATTCATGATTCTTTTAATAGAAATTTCAGAAGAACAGCATTTATTGAAATATAAATCTTGTAAACGTATGTCTTGTACTGCACATTATCAATTTAAAGTGGTCTTTCTGAATAGAAGTATTAGGTTATAGCCTATAGGCCTAATATAAAAGAAAATCACACTTTAAACAAATTCCAATAGTTCCAGTTTTGTTTAATCTATTGCTTATAGCGCAGTCATTTTGCCCTCTGCTTTATATATTTAGCAATATAGCATGTCAGTCATCAAGTAACAGGAATGATCACTTTGCATCAACAGCATTGACTGATGCCTGAAATGAGTCGGACACCGATGTAGGAGACATTTTGTTTGACCTGATACCCTCAGAGGTGAATCGATTTCAGTGTCTGCTGAGATTAAACCTTAAGTTACACAAGTCTTTACGTGTCACTGCAACTGCCCTGATCTTTGTTGCATAAACTTCACTAATGTATGTCTCTTAGTCTTACTAGCCCATGTTCCCTGTAATTTCTCTCTTGGCACTTTTCCATGCGGTGAGGATCACAGGTTTGGTTCAGCTGAATGAATTATTGTCTTGGTGTGAACTTGCAAGTCCTTCAGTTTGTGATGTTTTGAGTTAGCATATTTGTATAAAATGCTTCTAAATTAATGTTTTGTTCAGGAAATTGATTGTTTGCATATTTATTTTCACTTCATTCAAGGGTGACCGAGGCTGTTTGAATAGCTTTTGCTATTTTGTTGCAAACTAAAGCTCCCACTACTCTCTGATAGGGGTGGTTAATCTGTCTGATTTCCCGATTCGATTCGATTACGATTATTGAAGTCCCGATTCGATTACAGTCGATTTTCGATTATTAACGATTCTCGATTAGCGATTATTGATTTTCCATTTCACAACAGTAAACTAAAATACACTAGACCAACATATGATTATATTAGCAGCAACATTTTGGTATTAATTGCACTTTTTATTTGTTTGATATTCAATGAAAATGTATTGATGGTTAGTGAGGACATGCAAACATGCTTGTTGTCTACTTCTTAGGCAACCCATTATAAATAAATACATTTTTTAAAGCAATTGTGTTGCATTATAATGCAAAGGCACCTGGTTCTATTAATTGACAGCATTAAAAGGCATTTTGTGATTTCCTTCAATTGAAAATCTTTGAAGCAAGTTTGGGGGCACCCAATTCAGAGAATCACCCAGAAATTCAAAAGAACAGCATTTATCTGAAATAGAAAGCTTTTGTAACATTAAACAATACCGTTCAAAAGTTTGGAGTCGGTAAGAATTATTTAATTAATTTTTTGGGCGAAAGAAAAAAGAAATCATTACTTTTATTCATACAAATCGATTATCTGAATCTTTTGTGTGTGTGTGACTATAAATACGTTGCTTTAAAAGTAAATGACCCATAAAGAATTA